GGGAAACCATACACACACAAAACAAACAAATGTAGTAAAACATCTTAGTGGCAGATGGCTACATTTAGATATGTTTTCTGATTTTGGAAAAACTGTTCCATTCCATTTACTACTTAGTAGACAAATATCCTGAAAGAGAAAGTTGTCCTCAAGGAAATCCTTACAGCATGGGGACAATGCACACCCTGGAAACTCAAACACTTCCACCACCTCTATCTCACCATGGATATGAATGACTTTCTGCTGTTATGTTCTCCAGTTCTCTAGTGAATCACATCTCTTTTAGAATATAAACTGGCCAATATTTCGTGAATATTCTTGCTTCTTCCTCCCCATCATCTCCAGGGCCCTGCCCTTCCCCACAGATTCTCAAATCTGTTTCATTTTAGCTCCACAATAAGCAAACATGTATCTTTTTTTTTAAAGATTGTATTTATTTATTTGTCAGAGAGAAAGAAAGTATGCCCAAGCAGAGGGAGAAGCAAGCAGAGAGCTCCCCGCTGAGCAAGGAGGAGTCTGAGGTCATGACCTGAGCTGAAGGCAGGCGCTTAACCGACTGAGCCACCCAGGCAACCCAGCAAACACCCATCTTGAAAGTGGAACCCCCTAGACTTTAAGCTCCTGAAGGGCAGGATACTGTCTTATTCATCTTTGATCCAGCATCTACAGAATACTGTAGCACTGAACAGACTTAAACTTTAGGAGTATCTCAAAGGCATCTTGTTGTTACCACGATGAATTTATGAAATATCTGAGCACATAAAAGAGTCTATCAAAAGTACTATATCTTTAAACATAATTATAATAAACTGTGAAAAGCTGAAGGAGAGGGAGTGGCTAAAAGCAAGGGACAGGCTTCCATTACATGGAGGAAAATTAGGGAAACCCAGAGGGGCAAGTGGGGAGGCATGGCAGTGGAAAAACGGGATGAGCAAAGAGAAAGAGAAGGGAGATTAGGCTGAGAAATACAGGGAGGAGATCAGGCTGAGTATGCTGCTGACTCCAAATACAGCAGCTAAGAGACCAAAGTATGAATGAGTTACCAGCTTATAGAAACTTTGGCCATTTTTTCAGAATAGCCTGACATCTAAAAACTTTTTACTCTCATGACTTGGGAGAGCCTTTAAAAAATTAATTATTTTACAATTTAATTTTCAGAGTCTAGCATCAATGAAATGATTTTTCCTAAATAATGCCATTATGCATATTACTATACATTACCATGATAAAAATGAGGATATTACACACTCTATGTCCTCAGGGAATGACTGTGAACAATAACGTACTGTACCACCATGCAATATTCCAAATACAATTCTAGAGAAGCCAGCATCTGATTATTAGGAAAAGGATTTTGTTAGTTTAAGACCAATAATTAAAAAAAATAAAGATTAATTTATATCATTAAAGATCACTAACTAAACTGCAGAGACAGTTACAGCTTTACTCTGGACAAGAGACTATATTCACAGTTATGTGGTTGTCATCTTGAAGACAGATCATTTAATTGGGCCAGTCCAGAAGTCATTAAGTTTAGATGCCATATAACTCACAAAGCCACCAGAATGGCCAATGATATGAGCATCTAAAAACCTAGAAATGGTTCATTCATTCAGCAAATATTTCTTGTGTACTTACTATGTGTCAGGCACTGTCCTGGGTGGGCCAGCTCTATTAATGAATACATTATACAGACACTGTATCCTTGTGTAGCTTATATTCCAGTGGGAGTAGACAGGCAATAAATGACAAGTCAATTGTAGAGAATATTCAAAGATGATAGGTGCTATGGGAAAGCTAAAGCAGGGGGAGGTGATAAGGTATACCAGACTCGGGAGGGAGAATCACAATTTGTAATAGGGTGGTCAGACTGGGCCTCTCTGAGATGCTAAAAATAACAATAATTGAAAGAGGTGAGGGAATTAGCTATTTCAGACACCTGCCAGAAGAGCATTCCACGCATAGTGCAGAGGCCCTGAGGGAGGAACTCGTCTGGTTTAAGAACATTCAGGAGGCAATGGCGCTGCAGAAGAGTAAGGGACAAGTACCAGGAGACTACATAGGCCTTACAGCCAGTGCGAGGATTTTGGCCTTAACTCTTGAGTGAGATGGAAAAACACTGGAAGGTTTGAGAAAAGGAATGACATAATCTACTTAATTTTAAAAGCCACAGTTTGGCGGCCGGGTAAGGAGGCTGAAGAGGTGCAGGGATAACAGTTAGGAAAATCATCCAGGTGAGACATGATGACAGCATGGGTCTTGGTTGTAGAGGTGGTGAAAAGCAATGGATTCTAAACATAATCTGAAGACAGAGCTAGCAGGATCTGCCAAGCAAATGAATAAGGAATATGGGAGAAAGAGGAATCAAGGCTGACTCCAAGGTTTTTTGGTCTTAGGAATTAAAATGGACAAGTTGCCATTAACTGTGAAAGTCTGACCTAACTACAAAAATCCAACTGGAGAAATCAAGTAGGTAGTTGGACATTTGCAGGCACTGCGGAATTCAAGGAAGAGGTTCAGGCTGGAGGTTCAAATTTGGGAATTGTCAAAGTTTAGATGGAATTTAAAGCCATGAAGCAGAATGAGCTCTTCAAAGGAGAGTGTGTATACAGAGGCCCAAGATCTTAGGGTACTCCATGGTTAAGAGGCAAGGCAGGTGAGGCAGAAGAACTGAGAAGAACAGTCAGTAAGATGAGAAAACTGTATGTAAGAGTCTGGTGTCCTGGCAAGTGCATACAGCGTTTCCAGAGAGAAGTACTAAGGTCAAATGCTGCTGACAGTTCACTGAGAATGGACTATTGGATGTAGCAAAGTAGAAGTCAGTGATCGTGATCATAAGAACAGTTTCTAGTGAAATGGTGGGTGGGAAGAAAGTGGGTCTGAAGTAGTTTCAAGAGAAAGTAGCAAAGGAAATAAAGATAGCAAGTATAAATACCTCTTAAAGGACTTTGCTGTCAAAGGGAAGGGAAAAAAGAGGAGGAGCTAAAGGAGGAAGTGAGGTGAAGAGTGTGTGTGTTTTTTTTTTAAGATTTTATTTATTTATTTGAGAGAGAGAGAGAGAGCACATGAGAGGGGGGAGGGTCAGAGGGAGAAGCAGACTCCCTGCCAAGCAGGGAGCCCGATGCAGGACTCAATCCAGGGACTCCAGGATCATAACCTGAGCTGAAGGCAGTCGCTTAACCAACTGAGCCACCCAGGCGCCCGAGTGTGTGTGTTTTTTAAATTAAAGAAAGACTGGTACATATATTGGTGGGGACGATCCAGTGGAGAGCGGAAGAGTATTGCTGCAGAGGTGTCCCTAAGTAAATGGAAGAGGATGGACGGATCTAGGGCATAAGTGCACGCTGGTATTAGACAGGGGTATGGACAGTTCATCCATTCTAAAAGGAGGGAAGAAAGCATCTGAATAACGGGTGCTAGTATTGGGTTTATGTGGTTGCAAAGCGTGTGGAAGTTCTCTCTCTCTCTCTCTTTTTTTAATCAAAGCAGGGAAGCATATGTGGGAAACCTAAGAAGAGAGAAGGTTTGTGAGGATGGTTTATCAGAGTGGGAACGTGAATGGATTAGTGAAATGTAATGTGATGGCCAGATGGCATCAAGGGCTACATGAGGTTAGTGGTCATGAATTTAGGTGTTTTTTTCCTCAGTTGAAGTACAGCTGCCAGGATGAGGAGACAGATCAGACAACAGGTTGGATTTAATCAGGGTTGAAATTTTGCCAAGTGAGGGAAACCACTTGAGAGGAACAGCGATTATGTCAGTTGGCAACAGATTAAATAGGTACCCGTTCACACTTTGTCTACTCCCTTATATACTACTACAGACCATGTTTTTCTAAGGAGGATTATTATTAGAAAATCATCAGGAGAACAGAAATGGGACAAAAACATATTGACTGCCTATTATGTGGCAGGTTCTTTACTAATACCCCAAAGAGAACCTCCGATTTTGTGACCTTCAAAACATTAAATCATTCTCTATAGCCTATGAACACCTTGAAAGCAAAATTTTTACTTCATTTTTGGATTTTGTATCACCAACGTCAAACTTAGTGCTCTGCACACAACACATACTGTACATTCAATAACCACAAAGGATGAAACCTGAAATAAAGTATTCCAGGAAAATTTAATACGGGTATGGACCGTAAGGATGATAACATTCATCTACGAAAGGGAGACGGCTGAACACTAGAGTTTGGGCGTGAACTCGAATGTCAACATAATCCAATCTTTAAGTCTCTCAGCACAATGTCTACATCCATCTCCGTTCGAGGATCCGTTCGCCGCGTTAGGTCTCACCAGCAAACATGACGGGTACGAGAAAACCGCTATAGGGTGGTGAGTTCTTTAACACTATAGGTAACCATATAAAGGCTCCACTGATCCCGGACAGGAATGTCAAGTATGGAACTGAGGACTATGCTAGAAGACCCTGAGACTCGTTGGTCTTTACTGCCCTAAAAAGCTGATATACAGATCCCATTGCCTCTCATGGTCCCCAAATCCCAAAGCGCCATTTTCTTCCCACGGACACCCCACACCTGACAACTCACGCAGATGGTTATCTTCAGCACTCCGTGGTTATAGTCTCGGTACAACTCCTTGGCCTCTTGGTTGCATTCGATGCACCTGTACTGGCAGGAGGCCGAGGCAGCAGTGGGAGCTGCTGCAGCCCCATCCGTGTTACCCTTGCCCGCGGCCACCCCTTCTGTGTTTCCCTTGCCTGGCCGTAACCCACTCCGCCCACCGGTGCCCATTTCCACGCAACTGCAGCCGAGAACTTCCGATTCAGTGGCGGGGGAAGACGTCAGAAACCAGACCGGAAAGCCTGTCCCTCGCGGTCCTTGCTGGGATTCGTAGTCTCAGTTCTGGAGAGGGGGCTCGCGGCTGGCCGAGCTGGGACTACAACTCCCAGCAGGCAACACCACACCCCTTTCCCGCCCTCTTGCCACGGCCCACCTGCCCACGGCGGGTTAAGGCTGGGAGGCCGCACCGTGCGGCGAGGGCCGCTGCACATGCGCCTTGAGGAAAGATGGCACCTGCCGGCGGCTGCTGCTGCTGCTACCGCTGCTGGGGCGGCGCTGTGGCCGCCGCGGATGCTGTCCGGCGCGTCCTGGTGCTGCTGTTGTTGGGGGTCCTGTCCGCCGGGCTATGCCCGGGCGCCGTGGCCACCGAGCACTACTCGCCGCTGTCGCTGCTCAAGCAGGAGCTGCAGCACCGGCAGCAGCAGGAGGCCCCGGCAGGCGGCGGCTGCAGCCCTCAGTCCGGGGACTGGGGAGACCAGTACTCGGTCGAGTGCGGCGGTGAGTGGGCGGCGGCGGGCGGGCGTGCGTCCCGGTCGGCCCGGGCCGCGGGGGCGGCTGGGCCGAGGTGCTGGGCCGCCCGGGCCTCGCCGCCGACAGCCGCCGTGCGGCGTGCGCTCCTGCGGGAGCCGGCGCAGCGAGGTGTCATGCCGGGGCAGCTTCCCGCCGCTCGCACCCACGCCGCTGCGCGCCCTCCTCTCGTGGCCGCCGTGGGGAGGGTGGTGAATGGAGAAAAGAGCTGACAGCATGTTCCTGCGGCCAGGGCCGCCTCTCCGGAGTCCTAGCAACTGTTGAAAGGGTGGAAGAGAAGATGGCAAGTGGCCCGGGGCAGCCCCGGTACCCGCTCCGGGCCCCGCGGGTGCCGGGGGAGCGAGGGAGGGACCGACGGACGAAGGACAACCGGGTCCGGAGAGGGGATCCCTGGCCCGTCTTAGGCCCGGAAATCAGGTTTTGAAGGGTTGATGTCTTGTATTAAACACAACCTCTAAAAATGTGAAGCCTGAAAAAAAGAAGGGAACAAAATTTCAAGCATTTTATCTGCTCGTTGACGTCTTGCTTCCAGTTATTTAAGACTGACCTGTGACCTGTGATCTGTCAGGTGTCTCCCAGAGGGCAGAAAGGGCCCTGCAGGCCTTGAGCCTGTGTATGTCAGAACTGTGTGTGTATTGGAACTAGGCCAGCTCATTCATTAAGATGGGCGCTATTGCCCTCAGCTTAGTAAGTCATGACAGATGCTTCAGGGGCAAAATACGTGTGTACGGTGGGGGGGGGGTTGTTTTGAGGTTCTCCATTGGGTCTTTTCACCCTTCAATCCCCTCCCTTCCTTTTCCCTTCCTGTCCCTTTCCTCTTCCCTGGAATTCACTTAAGGCTTGCTTTTGAAAGGTCTGGGTCTACCGACCCAGCTGGCTCGTTGCTTTTATGGCCTGACGGCAGTGTTCTCTACTATTGTGTGACTGGGAAGACAATAAGTAATTTTTAGTTGAGATGAAATGTCCAGATTAGCACGCTCTGATTTCCTTTAAGCACAATCTGGCTCCCTTGAGGAAATCTCACTCATTGGAGGGTATGTGACTTCTTTATTTTGTAGTAGGCCTTGGCTAGTAATGGTAATAGTAAGGGCCAGCGCTGTAGAGTGGGAAAAGAATGGCTTTTACCTCTGTCACTTTCTGTGACTCTGCACAAGGTAATTGCTTATCTTTGCAGAATTGCCGCCTCTCTAAATTGAAGGCACTGTTACCTAATTACAAGGTTTCATTTTCTTCACAAGAGTGCTCTGAGGAAAGTGAGAAATAGCCAACACATATGGAGTGCTTGCTGTATGCCAAGCACTGCTATAAAAGCTTTAGGTTGATTAGCCTATTCTCTTAAATCTGTCAGCACACCAGTCACTACCTCATTGGATGGTAACTCCTTTTCCTCAGATGGGAAAACTGAGACACAGTGAAATCATCACCTTCCTGAGGCCCCCCAGCTGTAAAGGGAGGAACCCAGGCAGGCAGGTTCTAGATGAAACTTTGTCTTAGACACTAAGTAGTTACAGGTAGGAAACCACATCTGTAGTATTTGCTAGCATATAGGACGTTATTATGTACATCTTCATTTCCCTTTCCCTCCTGTAGTCATGTGATGCTCACTGGCCCAGGGAGACCCAGATTCTAGGCAATGGAAGATGCAAATCAAGATTTCTGTTATGAAATTGCTTGATATTCTTGACCTAGGTGGCTCCTTTCACTCTGTGGCATCAGGCTCATGCCAGTGTTTGAGTCCTTATTTGAGCCAACTCTGACCTGTATTATGCTTTTCTTCTAGATTATATAGGTTTTCATGAACTAGGCATTTGGAGGAATTCTCCTCTCCATTCTACCAGTTCCCTCATATGTGGGAACCATTACCTTGTGTTCTCTGCTTCAGAGGATGAACACTATATTATGAGATTTTAAGCATACTTTATTCAAATGTTTCAATTTTCTATTTCCCCCATGTAGTACTTACTTTCATAGTTTGGAATTACAAATGTGTTGTTGCAGATGTGTGGCAGGATTCTTTGAGCCAGCCGTCCCTGGGCTGACATCAAAGTCCCGTAGCTGCTGACAGGTGCTTAAGTGGCTTGGCCACTGCTGCTCGCCCCAGCTAGTCATTCCCAAAGGCAACTGCTTATGCTCCTTGGCACTCCGGCTGTCTCTCCTAGCTTTACTGGATGTGGTACGTGACAGAAGCCTTCACTATTGTGGTAGCAACTCCCAAAATGTCTCTCACTTCTCCCTCCTCATCTTGGGCAAGTAGGTAGAAGCTGGACCCTATGAAACCTGCCCCAGTCCCTCACTGTCCTAAGAACAGATGTAGGAAAAAATTCAGGATTTGCAACTAACCATATCGTAACCCAGGGGCTCATGTTCTGAATCCAGAACCCCCTTCTGCTCAACATTAGGGCCTAGATAAGTGCCAGGATCCAGAACAAGCCATTTCTTCAGAGCCTCACTGTTAGTCATACCATCACTGGCCTTTCCAGCCACAGGCCTGTCCGTATCAAGCCAGTCCCTATACAGGGGACAGACGCAGAAGCCACTTTTCAGAAACCTTCCCATAGCTTTTGGATTCCGACGGCTGATTGATGCCGCTTGGGTCTAAATCTGCACACCTTCTGGTGAGCTGTATGTGTATTCTCTTAAGATAGAACCCCCAGTGATTATAGAGCCAAAGGAAGCAGCTGGTGAGAGCGCATAGGTCTGAACACAGCACTGGCAGTGGCTGTGCTGTGTGGACCACCCTCAAATGGAATCCAGTGGCCTGGGAGCAGAGACAAGCATGGGTGACCCAGGCACCAGGGGTCTCAGCCTGACTTTGCTGTTCCCAGGCCCCCTTCAACTTTCTCTTCCAGAGCAGTTTTTACATTTTACTTGAAAGGCATGTATAACCACAGACGTCAGATCATTTCTCTGTTTTCCTGGGGGAAACATAATCTTACTTTTAAAAGAAGTGGACACTGAAATGTACATATTTTTTCTTTTTTCTTTTTGTTTTAAAGATTTTGTTTATTTGTCAGAGACAGAGAGAGCACAAGCAAGGGGAGCGGCGGGCAGAGGGAGAAGCAGTCTCCCCGCTGAGCAAGGAGCCCGATGCGGGGCTGGATCCCAGGACCCTGGGATCATGACCTGAGCGGAAGGCAGACACTTAACAGACTGAGCCACCCAGGCATCCCATTATTTTTCAAATAAAAATAAATTTCCCTTCCTTGTTACCTTTGCCCTGTTTGTAGTTTGGAATTGTGGGAAGAAATAAAGAACAGAAGTTTTTCCCCTAGTTTTATATTTATAAACGCTATGTACATTCTTATTTAATCCTCTCAGCACTGCAGCAGGTACTGTTTTTATCTCCGTTCCACGGTAGAACGTAGAGCCAGGGTTTGAACCTGGCCTCCTGACCCTTTGTGTATTATTTCCTCGGTAATATTTCCCTCTTAGAATAATTTCTTGTCAGTATTAATGATCAAGTCCTATACTCTTCACCTTTGTTGAAAGTTAAATTCTTAAATAACTTGTAGAATTTTATATGGACATATATGGAAGGATGCTTTACTGCATTAGTATTTTGAACTATAGCGCTAGAATGAATTTTTTTTAAGATTTTATTTATTTATTTGAGAGAGAGACACAGCGAGAGAGGGAACACAAGCAGGGGGAGTGGGAGAGGGAGAAGCAGGCTTCCTACGGAGCAGGGAGCCCGATGCGGGGCTTGATCCCAGGACCCTGGAATCATGACCTGAGCCGAAGGCAGACGCTTAATGACTCAGCCACCCAGGCGCCCCGAAGACTAGCACTGGATCTGTAGAATGGATCTGTTCTTTCACAGGAAAGCTATCTGTGTGCCTACTACTTGCTAGTCAGTGTTCTGGACTCTGGGGATACAGCACAGCTGGCTAGCTTCCCCGAGTGGAGCCTGTGTTCTGGTCGGGGAAGAGATGAATGTGTAGCAGGCCCACTGATAAGTGCCTTGAAGAATAAAAGGTACGGTGCTACTTTGCCAGGGGGCCAGGGAAGGCCTCTGGTAAGGTGGCATGAACAGAGCCCTGGACAGAGTGAGCTTTGGAGAGATCTTAGAGATGTCTTAATTTGATACCCCAGTGTTGTAGATCTGGTAAGTTATGGTCCAGATAAGCTGAAACATGTCTGTTGATTGAAGACTTCATCTCTCTCTCCTCTGCTCTTCCTGCTAATTCTAAACTGCATCTCATTCAAAGGTGGCATTCATCCTGTATTAGATATATCTACATGTTCTTTACAGACTAAGATGTATTTTGATGGTTCAAACGTGTGTACTTCTTGTAATTGTTTGGAAAATACTTTATTTTCCTTTTTTGAAAATATAATATAGGAACAGTGACTTTGTGATTTTTTTTTTCCTTTTTACTGCCTTCTTGAGACTTTTGTCTGCTCTGAAGTGAGGTAGTCCTTGTACTTGATGTCTTTATGGTGCTTTTGAAATGGCTACCTTCATCTAGCTGGCCGCATTAGCTCTACCTATGCTTAATGCCTCAGTCAAGTTCAATGATTAATTTACAACCTGAAGTAGTTTTCTTTAGTTTCTTGAAATTAATAATGCAAGATTTGAGCTTATTTTCCCACAGTTCTTTGTGAAGAAAAGAACATTTGTGTCTGATTTGGGGGGTGTTAGCTGCCAGAAGAATAGGGAAGTAGCTACAAACCTAATTGTGTTTGACAGTCAGTAAGACTTAAAGATTGTTCATATATCTTTCTTAACGGAGGAATCCGTTATTTAAATAGATGACATTGGTCTTATTGCTCACAGCAGTTAAATCATTGCTATGCCTTTGAGGTGGCAGGAGGGACACTTTTACAATGAGAGCCCGTTTTTATTCTGGCTTTGAGGAAGTTAAGGACCAAATTTTATGCTCAGTCATGGTAACTGTGGTAACCCTTACTGTTATATTTGCTTGATCCTTTTTCTCTTGGGCCCTGATTTTCTTTGTGTGTTTTTGTAT